GCTCCTCGGCTCGTTGCTGCCATCCCACGTCCGCACCTGTCACATTCCTGCCACTTCGGCCTCACCCCGCACATCCCTCCGGCTCCGCTTGGACCCTCCCAGGGCTCTCCCAGCATCCCACAGCTCAGGAGACCCTCGTGCTGCTGTGCCAGCTCCTTATGGCAAGAAACCTTTGCCGCTCCCCGTTGCCACAGCTTCGCCCTAGCCCCGTGCCCAGCCCCTGTGCTGGGTAAAGCCCTGCGGGCAGCGCTGCCTCCACCCTGCCCATCCCCGCAGGCAGCACAGCCCTGCAGGGAATCTCTGCCATCCCCTCCACGGGAACACGCTGCCACACGCCCCAGCTGCAGCCTCAGCACCCACTGGGGGCAGGGGAAAAATAATGGGGGTGGGAGGGTGTCCTGGTTTGAGCCAGGATGAAGCCAATTTTTCTTTTTACTGATTTTTTTTTTTCCTTCAGTAAGCTCTCTTGTAACTAGCAACAGTGTGTTCTGCTAGGCTGGTAAGACAGTGGAATGTTTTTCTAACTACTGAGGCTTCAAGGCTGCACCTGCACTCTGCCGGCTCAGACACTATGGGGAGATCTGTGACCCCCCCGTAGGAGGCTGAGTTAGACAGACAGCAAAAATAGCCAAAGATATTCCATTCCATATATCTACGTAAGCTCAGAGGAAGGTCAGAGATCACAGAAGACAACTTCCTTCCTTCTTCTTCTCCCCTTCTCTTCCGTCCATAGCTGGCGTCCGGGCAGGACTCTGCTCATCCATCACCGTCGATCCTCAGGCTTGATCTCTCGTGACCCCCATAACTCTCTGCTTTCTCCAGCAGCAGCTCCGGGATTCCTCGGGACTCTTCCCAGTTCAGGGAAGTGCTGTGGGAGTTGCTGGGGTGGGGGGAGGTGAGAGGTTTTTGCCCACACCTGAATATATCTGTATATAATTGTATATATATTTTCTTGTATGATTCATTAGTGTTTTAATTAAAGCTGTGCAGTTTAGTTTTCAATCCAGCCAAGTCTCTCTCTTTTTCTCTCTCTCCTTCCCTACCTGGGTGGGGGGGGGAGGGGATCGAGAGCATTGTTGTCGGACCTGAGTCAAACGGTGACAGAGAGAACAATCTCACACCAGCAGCCCCAGCCGGCTGTGCCGGTCCCTGCTGTTCTCCTGCCCCTGGGGTGGCTGGTGCCACCTCCTTGCAACACCTGCTGATGGGGAACGTTCACCTGCCTGCCCCCACTGCCCGCCCTGTGTGACCAGACCTGCTTGTCTGTGGATCTGCATCCACGCACCTGCACCAACCACCTGGATTCATGCAGGGCCAGGTCCCTGCCAGGCCCCCCTGCTGTGGGGCTGGGGTCGTGCAGGGCCACACTCCCCTCACCAGCTTGGCCCACCCAGCTGGACCCCTGGAGCTGGGCTGAAATGGTGGGAGCAACCCGGGGGAGGCTGGGAGCTCAGGAAAAGCAGCGTGGGTGTTGCTTGGGAGGGCAAGGGGGCGGAAGGGCGGCTGGAAAAGGCTGGAAAAGGCTGGGATAAGGCTGGAAAAGGTT